ACTGCATGGAGGTGAATTAAAAGATCAGCTGTTGAGGAGCTTATCACTTGGCAACACTGGTGCATGTTACCACTCCTTTCCACTCCATCTCTCTAATCACCCACACCTTTTACCTTTCTCACTCCATATTTTAAAATGTTATGTAATGTAATGTTGAAGGGATACAACTTGCTCATTTATACTTATAATTATCACAATCTCCCAAAAAATACTTTAAATTTTGTGTTTATTCAAGACATCTTCAGGTCATGAGACCCACTAATCCCCCACACAAGAATGGGTGACCTCACATTCCATTAGAAGGACAGTAATATGAGACCACTAATCCCCCACCCTACCTCCACCTGACAATGCATCAGGTCAGGTCAGTTACCTGAGACCCACTAATCCATCACAGCTCCATGGGAGTGGATAATAAGTCTTTGCTGTAACACACAGCTTCATTCATGCCCATATCATAGAGATTTTAAATTTTTAGATATGTTTATTTAACCAAACATTTGGGTAAAATATTCTGGAGTGTTATAGTAAAGAAATGGAGTTTCTAACTTAATTAGAACTGCATTTATGGACTCCGGTAGTTTAGACTCAAGGAAAATATCCCCAGCACCCAGAAATGTTCTGGGGAAGTGGGCTAGTGTGTGTCTGTGAAAGATGTCTAGTTTAGACACTCGGAAACTTTTCCCAGTAACCGAAATAGATTCCGGGGATAAGGAATTTTTCCGGGTTTTGAGAAAGTCGTCTGGTTAGCCAGAAATCCTTCATCCCCGGAAGTGCTTTGCATCAATTGTACCGGCTAACGGGGATATCACTGTATATAGATGTGCTTTGTTTAGTCCTCTAGACTTTTGAGAAAGGGTTTTGTGATTGGTCATTCTGTCAGTATTAAGTGTCTTTGTTTTTTAGAGAAACCATTGAGGCAGATTACTGGATCTCTGGAACAAGTTTTTAGATTCGTTGATTGATGTGGAATGTTTGTGGTAGATGAGCTAGAGTTTGTATCTATGAAAGCAGTTTTCCTTTGGGAAACTAAAATTAGATGGTTTTCCTTTTCACTTATGAAAAAAAAAACTTGGCTTTAGTATTTTCTTTTGGCTTCTCTATTGAATGAATGAATGCATTTGAAATTGAGTCTTTAATGCTTGACTTAAGGCCAGGGTGTATTTGAGTGCGAACCTGGAAATTAGAAGGTTTTCTTATAATAAATTTTATTCTGTTTGGGCTGTTCATTCATATTTCTTACCCTAACTACTAAACAGTTTCATCGTTAAACATCAAATCATAACACTGTATAATTACAAGGTTTATATCCATCTTAGTTGCCAGACGCATCACATTAACTCAAGCCAATTACACTGCTTTTCTTTTGTCCATCACTTCTATCCCATAGATAAGCATCCCATTTTCGGTCACTATATTTGAGCTGTAACTGGACATGGAGACTGCACTGATGGGAAATTGGTTAGGTTAGCATTTTTACCTCCAACTAGAACATTTAATATGTTTCCTCCTGGCTTCAGTTTCTTGAACCACCTTGAGAAAGACACTGGCCATAGATGAAGTACAGTAAGCCCTCGTTTAACGTTGGCCCTGACAAAGTTGTTTCGTTATTACGTCGCTACTCTTTAGATACCTATGATCCAAATAATGTCCCACCGATTCGGTATAACGCCGTCACGGACTATTTTGTACTGCTCATCACCCAATCAGAGCGGGAGGAGGAGCCACCCCTGAGTCTCAGTGACTCGCCACCCTTCTCTCTTGCCCTCCTCCTCTCCACTACCCACCACACACTCAATCCACCTCAGCCCATCAGTGAGTACAATACAAAATGATTTAGTTTATTTATCTTTTTGGATGTATAATATATACTATTTTCTACAAAAATGCCATTGAATTTATGTATATGTAATGTATTTTATGGGGCAAAGGGAGATTGGGGAATGTGACTCCCTTATTTTATCTTATTTCTAATGGGAAAAATTGATTCTGTTGAAGTTGTTTCCGCTAACATCGCGGTTTTCAGGAACGGAACCACGAAATTAAGCGAGGATTTATTGTATTGATCCTGAAATTGCATATTATAACCAAGCCTGGAACTAGGTGTCTTGCAAACCCTCCCATCTTCTCTGGGTTAATGTAAGTCTGCAGGGAATGAATTTGGGTTGATGTCAGAAAGCGATCATGGCTAATCTGAGAAAAAAGGCAAGTTGAACTCTAACTGATGTGATGTTATGCACTTCTCAGTCCTCCTCCATTTAATTTACTAGAGAGAAAACCCTTGTTTGAGCATTTCCTTAAAAGTGATATTTGCGTAGGGGAGGACAGACTAATCATAAGGTTAGATCTAGACCAATAGTGCAGTGAGTACAGTACATAACATGAGCTGCCTGGTTCTGGGCACAAGTATAAACTGGAATTTCAAGATCAATCCTTTATCATTATTCATCATTATAACTTAACATCTTGATGTAATCAGATGGATGATTATGCTTTACAGAAAATGCTCCATGGCCCAAGAACGGTGGTGGGATACGTCGACTCTGGCGTCACACACATTGGAGGTGGTGTCTACGAAGTTCTTCTCCTCATGACGTACTGCAGGAAACACCTTCTGCACCTAATGAATGAAATGTAAGGCTTTGTAGTCTTAAGAATTATATAAGAAATTGTTATATTTACATTGTTACATTATCAGCCTTACGTGCGCACGCATGTTTCTCGCCCCAGCAGTTGGATTTAACTTTTACAAACATACAGTAAGTACAGTACAGTGCATTACCCTTAATCAAGATGACTGGAAAGAGGCCATCAAGTGAATGTGACCACAGTAGTGCAAAAAGAAGCTGCAAAGGCATTACATTGTATATTAAACTTGATGTTTTAAGAAGGTATATCAAATTATTTAATGTACTGTATTGTATATGTTTATAAATGTTTATTTTCATTCATAAAAGTGCTTGAATGACTTTTTTGGGGCTGAAAAATTTCTTTAGGAACGCATCTCCAGTTTTATAATGGAAGTCAATGGGAAAATAGGTTTCGTGTTACGGAATTTTGCGATACGGTCAATTTTCGAGGGACGGAACCCTTCCGTAACACGGGGGATGCCTGTACTGTACTGTATGCTGTATGTTATTTCAAGAAAAACTATGGCTACAGTAGGAAAAAAAAAAAATCCTAAATACTCCCAGCTAAAATGCTTATGTGGCCTTGCATCTTGTATTCCGTAAAATATGGTACAGTAATATCTCTGTTAGCCAGAATCCCTCAAACCTGGAACTCGCCAATAGCCGGAATTGAAAGTTGCTCGGAATTTTTCTTGATAATTCCCCAAATTTGGGTTTGGGAACAAATGCCGAGGTAGAAATTCAGGATCATTTTCTGAAAAAAAAAATATCTGGCAAATCTGTCTAAATTTTTACATCTGGGTCTAGGAGCAAATATTACTTATGAAATAATCGCAATTACCAGAAAATCTGAGAAAATGGCGAGAAAATCACTCCAAACCTTTCTGCTCAGGGCCTGGGGACAAGGGTTTCCGGCATTAAGATAGATTGTGCCATGTTTAGCCACATCCTCACATGGTTGGTGTGTGGGTGGGAAGACCAGCCGCGTTGGTAACGCTGGATTTTCCTGCTATGGGTCTATTTATTATTACTGTTCAAATATAAATATTTCTTTAAATGTACAACAATAATTAAAAAGTAAAATAATACTGTAATAAATCAGTGTAATTCTGAGCTGAGCTAATGAGGCGAAGGGTGAGGTGACAGAGTCAGGTGGTGAGGTGACATGCCAAGACACTTACACAGCACACGCATTAACAGCACTACTAAGCCATTGTCTTATAACATTTTACATTACAGTGAGTTCTGCTATAACGCGAGTTTTGACAATGCGAATTGGCTCTAACGTGATTTATGAATAGAGGAACGATATTTGTATAACGCGAACGCTTGTTTGCTGTAACGCGATTTTTGCTTACTATTTCTCCAATTTTGTGGTATTAACTGTGAATATGGTAAAGAAGAATATCTCCAAGAAGCGTTCTGGTGATCGCATTCCCGGTGATGATCGTAAAAGAAAGGCTATAACACTTGAAGAGAAGCTCGGTGTTATCAACCTCAAAATCACCCTTCTCCCCTATCAAGTTATATTCATATTTTTTCAAGGTAAAGTGTTACATTTACTGTATGATTTCATTATTAGATATGAATGTAACATTTATTTAGACTGCTATCCTTTGTGTTAGGGTAACTACTAAATTTTTTTCGATTTCGAGTAGTAATCTGCACCTAACCCTATTTTCTCCATAAGCCCTGTTATTTCTATTACGCGAATTTCTATAACACGATGTTTTACAAGAACACAACTATCGCGTTATAGCAGAACTGACTGTACAGTGACCCCTCGGTTAACGAGCGCCTCTGTTAACAAGATTTCGGTTAACGATTTACCTTCCATAAGATTCTTAACTTCAGTTAACGAGCATTCCCTCGATTAACGAGTTTAACGAGCGACCTTCCACATGTTTTCGCTTGCATTTGGCGGTCCACCAGCTGTAGTTTTAGTCCGCCAATACAGTAATCGGTTCTAGAGCTTAAATTCCTTACTATTTTAGTAAATATCAAGAAGTTTATACTATTCAATAATTTTAAAAGTTTAATATTAAATTTTTTATTCATTTTAACAATTATTGAACATAATTGAAGTACAGGAAACTAGTTTTATGCGCGCCAAACAGCCTGTCAACACACCAAACAGGCGTCAGTCTTTGTATCTTTTCAGTGGAGGTAACATCTTGCTTGAGTCTCTCTTCAACTGAATGCTTTTTTCTGTGTTTCCAAGCAAATTATTGGTCAATTTGAAATTTATTTTACATATTGACTATAATGCAGTGCAGTGTTGATTTAAAGAAAATAATCTTGAATTACACCAAGAGAACTAAAATTTATGGGTGAAATGGCGCCATGGGGTGACTTCTCTTCTCCCTTCTCCACCCCCATTCTAATCATCATCATCATCATCATCCAGGAGCCTTCTACATACACACCTCAAAGTAAGTGTACTTTACTACCTTTTTTGTTGATTTTAGGCAATTTACGGTGAGCTGGAACCAATTACCCAAAAACCCATTGAAACTATGGTTTCGGTTAATGAGTTTTTCGGTTAACGAGCGACCTTCTGGAACGATTTGTGCTCATTAACCGAGGGACCACTGTATAATTTTTTATTATTTAGTTTTTAAATTGATGCATGATGGCTCGATTTGGCTACATTTGCACTTACACAACTGATCAATGAATAAACCAGGGCATCTGGAGACGCATTGTACACTAGTGATGTCACGAAGCTTCATTACTGCAACCACAACTGCTGAGCAACTGCATAAATTATCACAACCTATACTAAAATTTACTAAGTTAATTACAAAAGTTTTATGTCTGGTACAAACTATGGAATGTTTATAATAAAATTAATTGTTTTCTTGCAAGAATTCCAGCAACTCGAGTTATATTCTGCTAAATCAAGTCTGACATTTTCTCAGTGAAAAAAATTTAACCCACTGCCTTTTATAATCCTCGAGTCCCAGACAACTACGTAATATGCATTAATCTTCCTTCCTGGCTGTCAACACCCCACCTCCCCCTCCCCCCTCTCCTCCCTCTTCTCCCTCTCCTCCCAACTCTCCCTCCTCCCTCCTCCATTCTCCCAGTCAGCAGGGGAGGCAGATGGGGTGGGTGTATGTTGTTTTAGACTTCACCCGTACGCCCGGGTGACATTCCAGAATGCGCGCCTTTTCCCGCCACTGTTTAAATGCCCAGAGCGGATTATCAGGTTCCACACCTCGGCCACAGGGAAGCTTCTTGAACATAATTACCTACTTTCATTTGTTTCATTTCCATTGTTTGTCCATTTTATCATGTTGTATCAAAGTAATATTGCTAAAAGTAATGAACATGTAGTTGTATTGTAGTGTAGTATTACTGGAAAATAATGCTATGATTAGATTATAACTTTATTTTTGGAATTATTATTCTAATAATTATTTCTATGCATTACTTGCTCTACCAAACACAAAGGCAGCCAGACAGCCTGGCGACAGACTGTGTGTGTGTCGCCAATCAGTTTTTATGAAAAATAATGCAAATAAACTAAATTTTAAATGAATTATTTATAGGAAATAAGTACAGCATTACCCCGCTTTACACGGTTTCACTTTCCGCGATTTCTCATTTACGCGGTACCTTGCCAGAACCGGACTTTCACTTTCCGCCGTGCATCTACTCATATACGCGGTGAAGTATAATTTATTATTATTTTTTTTTTTATTTAGCTCATAAAATTCATACAAATTACCCTGCCAGAATATAAGTTACAATGCTGGAATTCTTACAATATGATGATCATTTTGAATATAAACATCATGGATTTTCCATTTGACATACAAATTTTAGATCTAATGTAATAATTTGGTTTACACAAAGCAAATATTTTATCTTTGTGCAAAATATATGAAGTTTACATTCAAAATATTCCCTGACCTGCAAGGAATCCAGAAATGTCAATTATATTATCCTAACTTTAGTCTGGTTTATTATTTATTACTAAAAATGTAAATATACTATTTTCTCCCAATCGCTTCTCTGGTAGGGAGGGAGGGACCAACCCAGCTAGGGCGGAGGTGGGGTATTTTGATTGACAGATAGTGTCCTTGAAGAATATTTCTTTGTTTATTTACTGAAGATATTTGTTTTAGCTCATAAAATTCATACAAATTACCTGGCCAGAATATAATTTACATTGCTGGAATTCTTACAATATGATGATCATTTTGAATATAAACATCATGGATTTTACATTAGACATACAAATTTTAGATTTAATGTAATAATTTGGTTTACACAACGCAAATATTTTATCGTTTGTGCAAAATATATGAAGTTTACATTCAAAATATTGGGACCAGTGTCAACAATTCTGCTCCCAACTATACCGCCCTTCAGGATTTATTGAACAGTCTCCAAAACTGGGCCACCAACAACCACGTCACCATCAACCATACCAAGACCATGGTTATGCACATCAACCTCTCCTCTGACGTTGTCCCACCCCCTTCCATTACTTTAGGTCCCAACACACTCCAGGTTGTAGATTCCACTAAGCTCCTCATCGTCACCATAGACAACAAACTAAATTGGAAAACCACACGTCGGTGAAGTTGTCAAATCCTCCAGTTTCCGTCTCCACCTCCTCCGCCGACTCAAGTCCCTTGGAGTTCCTGCACCCGAGCTCCTCAGTGTTTACTCAACATTCATACTTCCCAAGCTCACCTTTGCCTCCCCTACCTGGTTTTCATCCTCAAATGCCACACAACATAAACACCTAGAAAAAGTGCAAAAGAGGGCATGCAAGATTATTCTCTCCCCTTCCTACTCCACATATCAAGAAGCACTCAACTCACTGACCCTCTTGGCTCTCTCTGACCATCACCACGACCTCATCTGCAAATTTGTTGAGAAGCTTCTGCACCATCCTCGATACCGGCTCCTACTACCACCCAAGATCCCTCATCCGAGAATTAATGTTCAGCCTCACAACCGCATCCAGCCCATACGAGCACGAACTGA